ACTATAAAATAAATATATATATATATATATATATGTGTATGTATGTATGCATGTATGTATGTATGTAAGTTTGTATGCTTCTTGAAGAGAAGTTCGTTTTATTCATACGGTGAGAAAAGAAAACAGGATCTCGTTTGATTTTCGAAAGAAAATTTAAAAAAGACTTCTATTAAATCCCTAAATAACGTGTACACATGAAGAAAAAAAATGAAACAAGAGTAAAAGTGAAGATGAAGATGAAAAAGAAGAAGAAGAAGAAGAAGAAGAAGAGAAAATCACCCACCGAAAATAAAATCTGAAGAAAGTCGAGTCATGAGGCGACGATGTTTCACCATCACCACAAGAAAGAATTCTTCAGTTGCGACAAACTTGCTCGAGAAAAATACCAAGGATGATAAATAAAAGTGACGATAAAAGGTATCGCACGCGTGTCCCACCGATGACTCTTCTCGACGTAATATATATATATATGTCGGCGTTATTTTGTAAAATCCATTAATTCGTGAAACGAACCTAAAATAATTACACTGATCTGTTTAAGTATGAAAAAAAGGTAGAATGACATTCTTCAATTAGGTAATATATTAATTTACAAGGAAACGAATAGATAAGGTGTAACATTGAAATTCAATAGAACAGCATGATTAATAGAACATTGATTTTCAAACTGCAAGAAGATATAAGAATGGATAACTAAGATCATTGTTGTAACAAAAAAAAGCAAATTTTACAAACGGATTAAATTTCAATCTGATACTTCAACTACTCGTCTCTCGTGAATTAATATTTTATCTAAATTATCTCATATAAAACAATTCATTGTAAAAGATATGACAAATTTTGATTTATTAGGTCGAGTCATAAGTAACTTCCGATGCGTCTATGTACAATCTATTTTTTCGTATTTACCTATTATAAGTCACCGAAACTAACGGATTTTCGTTATCACTGTATAGATGAGCATTCAGTTAGTCTTGTGTCAACTTTTTGAAGTAAAAACTTCTTTAGAATGGGTGTCATTTGAAAAAATGTAACGGAACGGTAGGCGGCAATGAAACGGCCGCGATACTAAATAAGAAGAGAATACAATTATCCTATAGCGGATATTTTCTATTTGTCTCATTCTCTCGAAACATATTTTTTTGAAGATTTCACTTTTAACACGTGTGATCTGCACACTCTGTCAACTTTTTGAAGTGAAAACTTCTTTAGAATGGGTGTCATTTGAAAAAATGTAACGGAGCGGTAGGCGGCTATGTAACGGAGCGGTGGGAGGCAATGAAACGGCCGCGATACTAAATAAGAAGAGAATACAATTATCCTACAGCAGATACTTTCTATTCGTCTCATTCTTTCGAAACTTAGTTTTCGAAGATTTCACTTCTAACACGTGTAATCTGCACACATGCTTCTTTATGTAGTCAATGTTACATTTAACCGTTTTTCTTAACCACTGAAATTGGATAGTAAAAAGTGCATATTCGACATGTAATGCTTTAAGAATTGAAACAAGACAATAGCACTAAAGTGGCAACTGAAAAAATATGCAGCATATACGGTGCAGGACTGATAACTGATAGGGCAGTCAGAAATTGGTTTGTAAAAATTCCATTCTGGAGATACGATCTTAAAAGATGAATCGAGTGCAGGACGTATCTCCGACTTTGATGAACCTTTTAAAGGTAATATTGGAGCAAAATCCAATAGATATGTTGAACAATTGCAAAGAGTGCAAAAAAAAAGAAAAACTCCATGAAAGGTGTGTTGCACTTATCAGTCGCAGAAACGTCATTCTTTGTCTCATAAAAAACGGAAGTTATTTATAACTCGACCCAATATATATACTTTCCCAAAAACGTCTAGTTACTTTTGATAAAACCTAGTGATATCACGATTTAATTGATTACGAATTATACTATTTAACGCTGACATATGCATACATACCATACCATACCTGTTCGTTCTTAAAAATTCACTTCTCTTTGTCGTTGTCGTTCAAAATATCTCGTGAACGTGATTCGTTTCACGAATTTCACGATGTGAAGATGATCGATCGATCGCGAAGAAAGCGTTAAATCTTAGCACCCCCTATTCTTCCTCTCACATCGTTCTCGTCGTCCAAACATTGTTATCGAGGATGATTAGCTGCATGTTTACTATTAACATTAGATAGACGAGTAATTTTAGCGCGAGTCAATATTTATTCTTTCAATTTATTATACAAGGATGGACGCTCGACTTACTAATTGGACGGTCGAAAGGAAAAAAAAAAAAAAAGAAAAAAAGAAGAAAAAAACAATTTGTTCTAATAATACAAATAATTCGGCGATCCACGCATTTTTATTATCCTTTTAAATCAAACTAAATCATTGTTATTTTTTAATTTAATAAACTATATTATATCTTGCATATATATATATATATATGTCCTGATCGTAATAACAATAGATTAAAAAAATTAGTTAAGAAAATTGAAAAAATAATATGAGAATTATTATTTTTTTTTTATTATTATTATTATTTATTTTATAATACAAATAATTGTAATATAAAATAATATTACATACTTTTTCACTTAAATCCCATTAATATATATATATATATATATAATTACCGACAGATATATTAGATAGATGCTTGTGTTGTTAAACTCTCCACACACACACACACCCATCGCCGTTATAAATTATAATATTTATATACTTGTAAATGAAAATACGATCATTTAAATTGTACGTAACACAAAATTGACGTGAATAGAATGGAACTTTTATTATTTATTTATTTCTTTCTTTTTTTCTTTTTTCTCAACTTCGATCGTTCAAAGTAAGTACAATAATCTCCACCATCCTCCTTTCTTTCTTCCAATTCCTCATTCTCTTGTGTGTGTGTGATGACAGTAGTATCGCCATCGTACTTAATTTATTAATAACGATGAGATTTTCGATGTTTTTGAGAATTTTAACAACGCCCAGGATGTTGTGATGGCTCGATGACGACGAAAAACTTGTCTTCTGACGCATAACGACGTCACCTGAGGGCCCACTTTCTACCTGTTTTTTTTTTTTGGTGTATAACGATGATATTCACGAATATGATAAAGACAAAAAAGAAAATAAAAAGAAGAAGAAAAAAAGAGAGAGAGAGAGAGAGAGAGAGAGACGATCGAATCGATTTAACTAACTCGATTTTTTTTCCAACAACAACAAAATATCACAAAATTTATCCTATTATTTGTAGCTCGTAAATGTAAACATTTGAAAAATCGACGATCTGCGAATAGGAACGCATATTTCGCGGCCGATTGAATTATGGTTCGTCGATCTCTTCGAACATAGTATATTAGAAAGAGAGAGAGAGAGAGAGAAATATAAAGACTAATGAAGAAAGAGAAAGAACAACGCCACACACTTTAAGAACGGTCGAGATCCGAGGTAAAAGTTTCACGAGAGGAATTTATCGGTCACAATAATAATACTCGTCTCTCTCTCTCTCTTTCTTTCTTTCTCTCTTTCTCTCTCTCTCTCTACTGTTCTCAGAATACGCGAACTCCCTCTTGCTTTTTCCTTGATTATCCCACAAGAGAACACAAATTTCTGGAATGTAAACTTCTTCGAGTTCTCGTCGCCGGCATTATTTTCTCGTCGTTGTCTTGGTCAAACGATTAACGTTCCTGACAGTCTCAAAACTGTTCCAGAAAAAAAGAAGAAACCTTACAACGTGGATATATACCCTATCCTCTCCTTCTTCTTCTTCTTCTTCTTCTTCTTCTATACTCGAGGTAAAACGATTCGAGAACTCGCCACACCGAGTCAAATGTCATTTAATTGCATTCGCGAAGAGAACTCTTTCGAAGAAAATAATGCAATATGATAAATGTCAATAAATAAATATAATATTTTAAACGATTAAAGGATAATTACTGTGTAATTATTGATTTTATTACTTGCGATGAATCACTTGAGAGAAAGGGAATGGGCGGGCGAGACGGGGCGGAAGCGGGCGGGGGTGGGGTGGGGGGTGGTGGGGAAGGAGAAGAAGAAAATATGTGACTAGGATTAACTGTAAATTCATTTTTCGTCTTCGTTTTATTGTAAGGCATTTAAAATTCCAGAGATTGTGTGTTTTGCTTTAAACTCTTTGGGATACAGTGGGATTAAAAGTGTTCCGATCTTTTTGATACACGGTAATGCACACAGTGAGACATTTTTTAAATCCCAACCCCGAAATATTATTGCAATAGTTGCAATGCTCATTAATTAATATATCGTTTTATTTATTGCAAAAGCAATTGGTAGTAACATTTTCAACAAATGTTACAAATGTCATTAAATTATTATTACTCTTTCTTTATTTTTTTTTTTTATATTTTCACATTATTTAATATTATTATTAATAAAACTATACCACACACAATTATATGTTTCATTTAAAACTCTCGATCAAATTTCTATGCAACATAGGACTATTTTATTATTCGAAATTGTGTGCCGCAAAGAGTTTTAAAAGCAATTTCAAATTGCAATAAACGATTACTTCATTATTTTGGATACCATTATATTTATATTGGGTTGCTCGTAAAATAAATTTTAAATATATATATATATTATAAAATAAAATAGAAGTGTTGCTTTTGAAATATTTTTTATTATTATTTTTTTTTTTTTTTAATTGACACGAACTATCCGAGCAACCCAATAAAAGATCCTTTTTTCTCTCTCTTTCTCCAACGTTTTAATATCAAAAATAAATAAAAGTACGATTAATCGAAATACGAAAGCACAATGTAGTATTATTAAAAGGCACGTACTTGTCTGATTGAAAAAAAAAAAAACAAAAAAAAATTATCCTTGTGCCCATCATTAACTCCTTATCTTGTATTCAATGTTATACTTGTGGAAGGATGAGAGCGTCATAATTCTTCTATAATGAAATTTTCCGAATGGATGTTATGCATGTATGTCTAATATTATTTCGAAGCGCTCTTCTTTCACAATTGTATTTGTATTATACGACGATATTACCGCACTCTCGTTCGAATTAATATACGTTGATAATGTACGATTTTAACGTTGACAACGTATATTTAAAAAGGAAAAGAAAAAGTGGACAAAAAAAAAATATATATATATATATATATATATTATTATATAATTAATTTATAATTATATAATTATATAAATATAATATATATATTTATATAACAATATAATATATATATATATAATATATTATATTATTATATATTATACTATATTATATAATTATATAATATAAATTATATTAC